AGTTCAGCAACTTCAAGTGCCAGGCGATTTCCCCTTAATTTGTTTCTAAATTCTAAGTCCTCATAAACATTGTGATGGAGGACGCTGGCAATTTGGAAATTTGGGGAAGAGTACAGGTGGTCCTCGACTTACGACCACAATTGAGTCAAATTTTCTGTTGATAAGTGAAACATTTGTGAAGTGAGTTTTGCCCCATTTTAAGGACCTTTTTTTTTTTTGCCTCAGTTGTTAAGGAAATTGCTGCAGTTGATAAGTTAGTAACCTGGTTGTTAAGTGAATCTGGCTTCCCCATTGACTTTGCTTGTCAGAAGGTCACAAAAGGGGATCACATGTTCTTGGGACACAGCAGCGGTAAAAAATAAGAATCGGTTGCCAAGCAACTGAATTTTGATGACATGAACATGGGGTCGTAACTGTGAAAAATGGTCATAAGTTACTTTTTCAGTGCTGTTGTAACTTTGAATCCTCACTAAACAAACTGTTGTGAGTCAAAACTACCTGTATGTCCATCTGGTCAGAACCTGCCTCCAAATTACTTGGGTGGAAATTAGCATCCTGTAGGGATTAAAGGGATTGGCAAAGAATCTATAAAAGAAGAGTAGGCAGACCTAGGGGGCAGAGTTAAACTAGTCACTAGCCTAGAATCGTTATGTTCCCATAAATGTTTAAGTCAAATCTCTCTTGAATTCCTTTGAACCTTATCCGGTGCCAATTTAGTATTGAACATTAGTTGACTAGTTTCTCATGTATACCAATAAATCTTTCCAACCTGCAACATATTGTCTGACTCCTTGTGCCTAAGAAAACCACCCATTTCTAATAACTGGCTATTTTGGGACTGGCAAAGCTCTTTTACGACTGATTTTATGAGAGCATCTGCAACACTTCGGCATCAAATAATAGCTACACTGTCTGGTCTCTTGTAAACAACTCAGAGAAAACTCATGACTCATAGAAAAAGGAAATGAAGAAAGGCCGGCATGGCAATTGGTCTCCGACTTTGCAGAAACTTGGAAGAAAAGACTGGAAATTTTAAAAGGACAAAGTGCTGAGTTAGTAGTAGGAATTAAATGCCATAACACATGCATTAATACAAGGCAGGGGAAGTTGTTAATTAATTCAGGCAACATTGCATCCAGGTAGACTATGGCAGGTTGCAAAAGTGCAAAAAAGGGGCAGGAAGTATCTATGTAAAATAGGATTAATGCTTTCTTCCTTTCCCCTTCAATTTCTGTTGCTTTCTTTCTTTCTTTTCTCTGTGAAAAGTATATTTTAAAATAAACGCCTTCATATATGTGAAAACTCTTAACTCTTCCTTTTTTACATAACACATCCTTTAATTTTCAAATGGATTTAAATACCTAATTGCTTGAGCACACGGTCAAGCAAATGCAGATAAATTAATTTTTGATTTCACTTGAATTGTATGTATCCTGCGCCAATCCCCCAGAGAAATCAGCAAGGAGAATCATCCAAATGTAATAAAGTTTTCAAAAGATGTGAACAATAAGGTGTTTAAATAGCCAATGGATCCCTTGTAGAAATCATTGTGTAGAATTATGCATAATCTATATCAAATTTGGATTGTTAAAATAACATATCATCCAATGGATGGATTTCCATTTCAATATTTTATATTTTCCTAGGGAATCAGTTGACCTGTTGATGGTTTGCAAAAAAATGCAGGCTGAAAGATGAGAAACCTGAGCTGGTATTTTGGAACAGAAGAAAACCTGATTTTTTTTTCTCTCTCTTCATCTGCACAAAACAAAGAAGCGAAAAGGCCACTTTGAAATGTTATTTAGCCCATAGGGAAAACTTACAAGTATTATTTACAGGGTTCGCTCTTAAAGTTTTCCCCGGTGGGCTAAGTAGCAATTGAGCCCAACATTTCTGTCGCTAAGCAAGACTGTTGTTAGATGAGTTTTGCCCCATTTTATGACCTTTCTGCAATGGTCGTTAAGTGAACCACTGCAGCTAGGACAACATGGTTGTTCAGTGAATCGGGCTTCCCGTTGACTTTGCTCATCATAATATCGAAAAGGGGATAACACAATATCAGGAAACTGGAAGCCTTATAAACATGTGCCAGCTGGAAGCATCTAAATTTTGATCATGTGGGCAGTGGGAATACTTCAATGGTCGTAAGTGTGAAAAATGGCTTTTTTAAAAGGCCGTGGTAACTTCGAGCAGTAACTACACAAATGTTGAAAGTTGAGGATTATCTGTAGAGGACTATCTGACTTACAACAATTCATTTAGTGGCCATTTGAAGTTACAACGGCACTGAAAAATGTGACTTATGACCATTTTTCCCAGTTAGGAGCTCTGCAACATCCCCATAATCATGTGATTAAAATTCAGGTGCTTGGCAGTTGGTTCATACTTAGGACCATTGCTGTGTCCCAAGGTCATCTGATCTCCTTTTGCGACCTTCTCACGAGCAAAGCCAACGGAGAAGCCAGATTCACTCAACAACCAGGTTACCAACTTATCCACTGCAGTGATTCACTTAACAATGGTGGCAAGAAAAATCGTAAAAGGGCCAAAACAATAGAAATTTTGGGCTCAATTGTGGTTGTAAGTCAGGACTACCTGTGTGGTGTAACAAGATCTTGCGACCCAAATGGGGTGGTTGCAAGGGTTACTTCTTAAACCCCGTAAGATCTCTTCATCTTGCAAGATATGCATCTAGATCTATTGTGGCTTCCTCTCTTCAAGAATACCTCTGGTTTGACAAGGCCTTCTGTTGTGTGGAGGGGTGTCAATCATCGCTGGCATCCTGCCATCAACAGGAGGAGAGAGTGGGAAGAACAACACATGGGCGATAAAGCTGCATGATGGGAAACTGGGAGGTGAGATTGACAGTTGAGGAAGAACAGAGCGTTTTGGAAGCCCGAGTCTTCAAGGCCACATACCCCTGAGAGTGGAATTTCACCAGCCTGAACATCTCAGTGGTTCTCAAAACATCTTGATGGTGCCAGATTGGCTACACGCAGATAGACTATGGGGAGGGGAGGGCTGGAGGCAACTAAGGGGTTAGTTTTGTACTGATGCGCAGCAACTTCAGCTTCCGCCTGACTACTGCAATCAGCATCTCTTAGTAAATGTACCTTTTCGCTCCCATCAAATGTAGTCGAGGGTTTTACTTTCCTAGGAGATCAGACTGGGGCAGGTCTGACAGTTTTAGCCCAAGCCTGCTCGGTTGTGGTGTTTTCTGTGGTCATTTATGCACTGCTTTTAGAATGTAAGTGCATTTGTGTTCTTTTCAGAACTGTGCAGAATCCATGGAGAACCGAGACATCGGGATGCATAGTAATGATGACCTCAGCTCTCCAAAAGAGATTAAAAAAACAACAATAACCTCTGAACAGAAGAAGGGACGAAAATGAAACCTGTCCATCTCTGCAGAGAGAGAGAGAGAGAGAGAGAGAGAGAGAGAGAGACAGGGCCCTGCCATCATTTACATTTGCAGGTATTTAAATCTCCAGGTACGCGGCTTCTGCCCTGATTCATAATCAATGAGGAGCAAAGACACATCCTGGAAAAAAGCCACGTCGAGCAATTCTTCCATGCGGGAATAGGTACGTTCTCACGCTTGAAGGAACATGAGAAATTTCGTTTGACTTTCTCTCTTCTCCTTTCTCTTAGCAAAAATGTCAGACTCAAGGCCCCTTATACAGATATCCTCGACTTACAACTAGTGGTGGGATTTAATTTTTTTTACTACCAGTTCTGTGGGTGTAGCTTGGTGGGCATGGCAGGGGAAGGTTACTGCAAAATCCCATTCCCTCCCCACCCTACTAACCTGCTTTCCAGCTCCATTCTCCTGTGCAGGGCAACTAAAGAAGACCCAGCCGATCAGCTGGGACTCGGGAGGCGGAGAATAGGTGGGGGCAGAGCCAGTCAGAGGTGGGATTGGCCGGTTCTCCAAACTACTCAAAATTTCCGCTACCGGTTCTCCAGAACCAGTCAGAACCTGCTGAATACCCACCTCTGCTTGTGGACTTCAACTCCCAGAATGCCTCATCAAGCTTTGCTGAGTGAGACAATGGCTAAGTTGAGTTTTGCCTCACTTGATGATCGTTCTTGTCCCAATGTTAAGTGAATCACTGCAGTTGTTCAGTTACTAACACGGTTGTTAAGTGAATCGGACTCCTTCATTGACTTTGCTGGACAGAAGGTCGCAAAAGTGGATCATGTGACCTCCGAGACAGGGCAATCGTCATAAGTACAGGTACTCCTCTACTTACAACAGGTCATTTAGTGATGGTTCAAAGTTACGACAGCACTGAAAAAAGTTGACTTATGACCATTTCTGTCCTATTTTTCATACCTCCGGCCACTGCAGCATCCCCAGGGTCACGTGATCAAAATTCAGATGCTTGGCCACTGACTCGTAGTTACAACCGTTGTGCTGTCCGGGGTCATGTGATCCCCTTTTGCGACCTTATTGACAAGCCAAGTCAATGGGGGAAGCCAGATTCACCTAACCACTGAGTTACTAATTTAACAACTGCAGTGGTTCGCTTAACAACCATGGCAAGAAAGGTCGTAAAATGGGGCAAAACTCACTTAACAGAAGTTTCACTTAGCAGCACAAATGTTGGGCTCAGTTGTGGCCATAAGTCGAGGACTAGCTGTAGAAACCAGTTGCCTGAATTTTAACCACATTACCACGGAGGTGATGCAACGGTCATAAGTATGAAAAAAGGTCACTGTTTTCAGTGCCACTGTAATTTCGAATGGTCAGTAAACGATCGGGTATAAGTCAAGGATAATCTATATTGGTCTTCTGGAAAACAGCATTTTTCAGAGGCTTCTTAGGATCTGACACAATGTATTATTCTGGGGTGTTTTAATTTATCTGTAAGCTTTTTGTTTGATTATTGTGCTTGGCTTATTATTGTGCTCCTTCTAAGTGTCTTCTACGCGGGCAGTGGGGGTAGGAAACGGATTAATGAATAAATATTTAGGTAAGAAATTCTTTCGCCACCTACCGTTGGACTTTTCACTATCTGCAGGCTTCATCTGAATGGGATGATGCATCTAGAAACAACAGACAACAGAGAGGGAAAGAGAAAGCAAAGTGGGTTGAAATCACCTCAAATCAAGCACATTTCAAGTTCTCCATCCAGCCACATCCCTAAATGTTCTATAGGCACCTTTAGTTGCCATTTTGTGGAACGATACAGGAGAGTTTAAAAGTTGCAGTTGTGTTGCAGAAGGCATGCCAAAGATGGCCCTTGATCGAACCCAATTGTCTCAACTTTGGCAAACTAAAGATGCGTGGACTTCAACTCTTTATTTATTTATTTATTTGGTTTGTCAATTGCTTACAAGATAATACCGTGTTTCTCATATAATAAGGCTGGGTCTTATTTTTTTTTGAGCCCCGAAAAAATGGCTAGGTCATCTTTTCGGGGGTGACTTAATTTCCCCCCCCCTTGCATCTTCAGGCGGGCGAGCGGCGACAGCTTAGATCAGGGGTGGGCAAACTACGGCCCGTGGGCCACATCCGGCCCGTTGGTCTTTTTAATCCGGCCCGCCGAAGATTGGTACAGAATTAAGGTTTGATGTGAATGATTGAATGATTGCATTCATTTGATTTTGATTTGTAATGACAGGCATTTCGACGCCAGGTGGCGGCCCGTCTGTCAAATTTTAAAAGTGAATGAGGCCCCCCGAGCCAAAAAGTTTGCCCACCCCTGGCTTAGATGTTGACCTCGGTGTTGGTGGGGCACTTCGTATCGGGGTCAACGCAGGCAGCACCATATCCGGGTGTGCAACAAAAGTACTTCCTAATGGCAAACCCCCCCACCATTCCCCCCCATTTCGCATGTTTTAATATAGGCCTTAATTTGGGGGGAGGGGCTTAATTTCATTTCATGCCTATAAAACATGCTGGGACTTCCTATTGGGGGAGGCCATACTGTTGGAGAAACAGGGTAGGTATAAGTAAAAACATAGTTATGAATACATGGATACATATAAGAAAAATAAAAAATAAAAGAACAGGGACAGGGACGGTAGGCACGTTGGTGCGCTTATGCATGCCCCCTACAGGTCTCTTAGGAAAGGGGTGAGGTCAGTCTAAGGTTTAAGTTTTTGGGGTTTGGGGAAAAAACCACAGAGTCAGGTAGAGCATCCTCTGGGAGTTGAAGTCCCCACATCTTCACCTTGCCAAGGTTGAGAAACACTGATCTCACCCATCATTTCCTAAATATATAAACAGTAGACCTGTTCCAAAAATTCCCTTTTAACCTGTCTTAATTTCTTACAAATCTTTTGCCTGTCATTATAAGGTAAAATTGCTTTGCGTGGACAGAGAGATCCAATTTATTTTACAGTGTTTGTAGCCAGCTCAAAGACGGTGAGCAGGTCATAATGTGGGGAAAGTAGAACAGCAACAAGAGGAGTGAATCAACATTACCAAAAACAATTGTTAATATAGCCACATCCAGAAGTCAATGAAACTGAGCTAGGGTTAATGGCCCAATTAAAATACAATTATCTTGAAAGGTTTTCTGAAAATGGAGGGCACGTTAAGGACCCTGGAAGGATCCTAACTGTAGGGGCCACTCCGGAGAAGGCCTGGCATCTTGTTCATGTCTCCATCATTTCAGATAAAGTCCCTTAAACAGCCTTCCCAAGATAATCCCACTGGACAAACAGATTCAACTCTGCCAAAACTCTCTTATTAAACAGATCAGCAATCTTAAGAAACAACATGTTCCACAGCTCTATTGTTTGCTTTTTTTTTTTAAAAGGGGAAATGTCACTGTTTGATTTTATGACTCATCTGCTTCTGAATCATGCACATGCATGCACATTTTTATTGCAAAATAAGAGAAGTGCCAAGCAGTGAGAAAGAAATCAAAACGATAGCCAGAAGTGGGCGGTTTAAATCCCGTCCTCTTTTGGTATGTGTTACGTGTTTTAAATAAAAAAAAGAAGGTGGATGTTCAATCATGCCATGTTGGCCACCATGCTGACTTAAGGAGAAACTTCCTAACAGTGAGAACAATTAACCAGTGGAAGAGCCTCCAGGAATCATGGGCACTCCATCTCTGGAGGTTTTTAAGAAGAGACTAGACAGCCACTTATCTGAAATAGTATAGGTTCTCCTGCTTGAGCAGGGGGTTGGACTAGAAGACCTCCAAGTTCCTATTCTATTCTATTCTATTCTATTCTATTCTATTCTATTCTATTCTATTCTATTCTATTCTATTCTATTCTATTCCATTCCATTCCATTCCATATTCTATTCCATTCCATTCCATTCTCTATTCTATTCTATTCCATTCTATTCTATTCCATTCCATTCCATTCCATTCCATTCTCTATTCTATTCTATTCCATTCCATTCCATTCCATTCCATTCCATTCCATTCCATTCCATTCTCTATTCTATTCTATTCTATTCTATTCTATTCTATTCTATTCTATTCTATTCTATTCTATTCTATTCTATTCTATTCTATTCTATTCCATTCCATTCCATTCCATTCCATTCCATTCCATTCCATTCCATTTTTGACACACATATATCCAACAACTCTATTGCAACAATTGCATATTTGCAATCCTCACAGTTATTGTTACAAGTCAAGTCAATGCTGGGCTTATTGCCCTAAAGAAACTGGTTTATACTAGGTAGGCACATTAATGCAGATTTCAGCAGGTTCCCCAATTATCTTGTACCTTATTTTTTCAACACTTGCTGGGTGATCTATTGGGTACTTTGCTTCATATTTCTAGGCTAAGTTCTAAATAAGTCCCACACTTAAATGCATGAATCCATAAATTTAGTTTTATCATCGCTAGTCCATGTCATCAATTTTACCAAGGACTGTTCTCTATTTGAAAGATTGCCTGGTCCAGGTGTGGATTTATGATAAACCACCCTTGTTTTGTTCCTCTGATTTATTGGTAAACCACACAAATATTCTTGCAAAACTCCAACCGTTAGTCAACTAGCAATAAGAATAGTTCTGGCTTTAGCCTGGGATAAAGCTCATATATGGCTTCATATATAGCTGCAGATTAATTAAAAAAAAGGTGCTCATAAAATATTTATCCTCTTGTAAAAATTTGAACTCTAGTACTGCAATGTCGGTACCTGTTCTGCATTTTATGATTTCCCCAATAACATTTTTCTGTATCTTTTTTGAATTGCAAATTGCATCTTAACAGTTGATCAAACTGCGCCATAACATAAGAGAAGGACTAGGGATGACATGATAGCATTCTTCCAATATTTGAGGGGCTGCCCCAAAGAAGAGGGAGTCAAGCTATCCTCCAAAGCACTTGAAAATGGCAAGACAAGAAGCAATGGATGGAAACTCATCAAGGAGAGAAGCAACGTAGAACTAAGGAGGAATTTCCTGACAGTGAGAACAATTAACCAGTGGAACTGCCTGACTCCAGAAGTTGTGGGTGCTCCATCACTGGAGGTTTTTAAGAAGAGACTGGACAACCACTTGTCTGGAATGGTTTAGGGCATGGGTGTCAAACTTGATGTGTCATGTTGCCATCATGTGACACATCGCAACATTTTTTTTCTCTTCATGGAGCTGGGGTGGGTGTGGCCTGAGTGTAATGTGTCTGGCCTGTGGGCCGCCAGTTTGAGACCCCTGGATAGGGGTCTCCTGCCTAAGTAGAGGTTGGAATAGAAGACCTCCAAGGCCCCTTCCATCTCTGTTATTATGTATTCAGGAAACAAAACAGAACAACCTATAATTGTGTTTGATGCCTTCCAGGTATAGGCCTGTGAATCCTGGGAGATGTAATTCCAATATATAAATGCAGTATCTGCTTGAGGGAAGCTGATGTATAGTTTGGGTAATATGGATTGAGTACATCTGCACTGAAACACGAATAGAACAAATTTCTCTCCCATCCTTGCCTTCAAGTAGCTTAGGAAATATATTGTTTCATTTCTATCTCCATGCTCAAGCCCATTTTTAAAATTTATATTCAACACAATCTTGGAAGCCCTACAGAACTGGAACCATTTTTCTTTTTTGCTCCATTCCAGCTACTTCAGTCTCCCCCCTCCCAACCCCCAGATGAATTAAAGCACAACAATATTCTGAGGCAGAGTCATTTATCCATTAGCAAACATAAATATTTCTAAGCCCTCCAAATGACTGACCACATGCCAAGGCCACAGTGGGGAGATACATTTCATCCTTCAACTGGCAACCCTTCCCATGCTTACCTTGGCATTATGTTTTGAAACTCTGTGGGGACAATTGGAATTAAGTTTTATTCCTTTCGCTTAAAGAGTTTTGATCAGCTTCTCGACTTAAAAGCAATCCAAAGCAGCTTAAAAAGTAACAACACAATCAAAACAGTCCGATAAAAATCATTCACTCAGAAAAAGTGCAAGATTTTGCACATAGAAAACGGCTTCCATTCTCTGCAGTCTTAAGGGTATTATTTGAATGAAGTTCTCTCCAGCCCGAAGATTTAATCCTATACTCAAAAGAGGAGGTGGTGGAATCAGGACTCAGTCCCCGAAGGCACTGTTGCGTTTGCAAAATCTTCCTGTCTTCTTTGCCAAATTCTATCCAGTCCCTTACTGATTGTTTCCAACATGAAATAAATGCTGGAATGTAAAATGCTGCCTCTGAATGGACCGGGATCTGGAAAATGGACTATTCAAAACACACCAAAATGGATGAATCACACAAGTAAGTTCCTCTAAAGATGCAGCTTTCTTTTTCCCTTGCTTTCGGTGCAGTGTCATGTTTGAATACGACACACCATTTCTTTATATTAGAAAGATAATATAAAGGAGCTTGTACCACAGCCAATATAGTTCAAGGCTGCATAAACGTGGAGGGATAGAACGAAGTTTGCATCAAGTGTTAGTACTACTTTATGATGCCTTGGTAAGACCACTCTTGGAATATTGCGTGCAGTTTTGCTTGCCACGATGTAAAAAAGATGTGGAGACTCTAGAAAGAGTGCAGAGAAGAGCAACCAAGATGATGAGAGGACTGGAGGCTAAACATAGGAAGAACAGTGGCTGGAATTGGGTC